TTTCTTTATCTGAAGTACTTGGAAATGCTCCCATTTCTGGCCTCCCTTTCTCCCCCTCTCCCATCCCTATTCCCATGGGGCTCCTGGCTGTGTTTCAAGAGCCCTCGCTCCCCTCTTGCCACAGATGCCCGCCCTGTGCAGACCCCCTCCAAGCTGGGCTGAGCTGCCTCCCTTCCCTTACAGCCAGCCACCAGCCTGCTGAGCCCGTGACCACTGTAGTCACTGTTCTCAGTGCCAAACCGCCAGGAGTTCTCTAAGGACCTGTGCACACAGCATCTGGCCTGTTTAACCCCTCAGCTTAATGCATCCATGCTGACGCCGGCATAACTTACCTTATCATTTGTGACAAGTGTCTCCCCGAGGCTCAAGGGCACAAGTCACCAGAGATATTTTATAGGATTGAGCAAAGAATAAAGAAAAGTGAGGGGTTTATACGCTCTAAGCACCTTTTGCAGAGATCTCCCCCAGCCACCTGGCCGCCTGCCGTGCCAGGAGCTGTCCAGTGCTGACCTGGACAGGGGCATCTCACCGGCTCACCTTCAGGCCTTCCCTGCCCCTGATGTGTGCTGCTGCAGCCAGAGCCGTGATCCAGTGCCATCTCCTGCCACTTTCTCAGCAGTCAAAATAGAGGGGTCTTCGTTGTCAGGCTTCCCTGACCTTGGAACCATTTTAGAAGCAATGATCTAGTTACCAAGGGGACAAAGTCTGTAAGCAGAAGATGAGCAGCTGGCCACAGCAGAGCAGGGAGGACAGCCTAGAGAACAGCCTCTGGGGACATGAGCCACAGCTTGGCCACCTGGCAGGGGAGCAGGCGGCTGTGCGGACATCCCAGGCTTCCCACTTTGCTGCCCAGAGAACAAGGGGCGGCGGCACTTCCTGTTGAAGAAAGGAATTGTTCTTGGCCTGCTACACTCAGAGCCTGGACAAGGCACTCAGTGGACTGGGGAGAGGTGGTGGGTGCTGGCAGGGAAACTTCAGGATGAACAGAACGAGGTGACAGAGAAAGGAGGGGTGTGGCCAGGTCCGTGTGAATGGGGAAGGTGAGGTGGAGCCAGTGTCCCCACATCATCACCCACTGCCCCTCCCATCAAGGTCAAGTCCATGGGCAGGAAGAGCTGGTGAGCAAGCGTCTCACCTGGAGGCCAAGCACAGGCAAAACCCCAGCCCACCTTCTGGGTACCCCCTGGGCAGGAAGTGCTGTGTGGCGACAAGCCCCCTCCAGAGGAAGAATGGTGGTCAGTCCCGTGTTTCTTGAAATATCCCTTGAACCTCCTGGCCTGTCACCCGCCTTCCCCACCTTCCCAGTCACTGGACTGTGTGTCTCTGGACAGGTCTAGGCCCTCTGCTGAGACAGCCCCAGGGACCTGGGACCCGACAGTGGCCTGAAGATTCTGGCTGTTGTTCCACTCTTGGCATGGGTGACATCCAGGCAGATGGAGCCTGACCTTGTCGTTCTCCTTTGGATGCTATATCTGGTCACTCCTAGGGTAAATGGCTCTTTAAAGGGCCACACTTCTTCATCTGGAAATAAAAAGGTCGGAATGTCCTAGTTCACAGTGTCATGAGAACCAAACACACACACACGGCAAGCGCCTGGCACGTGATTGACATGGGTTGTAATAGGCATTAATGGCATGGCTCCGAATCAACCCTCCACAGGGAGGACTCTACCAGGAGCCCGCCTCCTCTGGCCCCACCCTGCCCAGTCTGTCTGCCTTCACTCCCTGTCTTCACTGAATCCTCTCCCTCCTCCCAATGCCCCAGGCCCCCCAAATACACAGATTCCTACTGCAGGCCTTCAAGTCACATCCGTTGCCATCTTGACCTGGATCTGCACAGAAGCCCGACCCCTCCCTCCCCAGTACTGCGCGGCATGCCTTTGTCTGTCTGGTCCTGACTGCTCCACGTCATCGCTGATGACCCCTGGGGTCTGGAGCTCTTCCCCGGCCCATCTATTGTACCACTGAGAGTGCAGCCCGTTGGCTTGTAGGTCAAGGATTCAGTGTGTGCTCGAAGGCCTAAGAAAGGGAAGGAGGAAGGGGTTAGATCCATCACGGAGTTAGAACCATCATGGAGGTGACAAACAGCCTTCTGAGTTGCAGTGGCCTCAAACAACAGACATTCTGCTTCCTGCTGTGACATGTGTCTATGTGATGTCAGGAAGTTTCACTCCTTCCCCGTTATCACAGGGGAATTCAGAGCTACAGAAGGCATCCTCTCACCTGCCTCTGCATCCCTAAAGCAAGTAGAAGAGAGTGGCAAAGCCTCCACCTGGAAGTGACACGTGCCACCCCCTCCACCTGCAAGGAGCCAGGCAGGGCTGGAGGACCTGTCCTCCTCCCTGAAAACAGCGCAGCATTTTTCTGGACCCAGACACCAGGTCCGGCCTACCCAGCCAGATGTGCCTGTGAGCATATTTCCAACCAAGTGCTCATGCGTGAAGCCATCAGATTGCTCAGATGGGCCCTGGATTCAGAGAAAGCTGGGATTTTATGAAACTCCTCAACTAATGGGGAATGCATGAATTATTGAGAAGAGAGAAAAAGAGACCCAGGGAGGAAGGGCTGCTCCATTATTCATCAGGCCCGGAGTCCCCAGGTCCCCAAGCACAGCTGCTGGCTGTGACACCTACAGCAGTTTCCTATTATGTCTACAACAAACGGTTCCCACCGCCGCCTTGGCAGCCTGCGAGCAGGGCTCCCACCCACGCCAGCCACTGCCTGTCTCATTATCTGAAGCAGGCGGCAGCTGAACCCGTGGGGGCAAGGATGTTGGCACTGCAGCCCACTCACCTTCCCCTCACCTTTCCTTCCCAGATGCCGCTCACAGGCCTCTGGCCCTGAGATCCTCACTCCGTCAGAGTCAGAAGGGCTTCCATACTTGGGCCCTCACGATCTATGTCTTCCACCTGTTAAGGGTTGGATATGAGGTGCTCCCCGAAAGCGCCTGTTAATGCAGGAATATTCAGAGGTGAAATGATTATGAGAGTTGGGACAACTTCATTGGTTCATCCTCGTCTGAATGGACTAACTGGGTAGTGGCTGTGGGCACGTGGCATGTGGCTGGCGGAGGCAGGTCACTGGGGTGTGCCCTGGAAGGGTGCATCGTACCTGCAGCCCCTCCCCCCTCCTTCCTTGCTGCCACGAGGGACGTGGTCCTTCCTCCATGATGTGCTGCCCCACCGTGGGCCACAAGAATGCAATCAGCCATCTGAGGACTGAGACCTCTGAAGCCACGAGCCCCAAATAAACTTTCCTCCTCTCCGCCGTTCTTGTTGGGTATTTTGTCACAGTGATGAGAGCCCACCAAAACTCTGCCCCAGCCCTTTCACCTCCTTGATTTCATACATGCTCCCTCTGGCTGAAACCCCTCCCACCCTCAGTCTCCCTGCTGAACTTCTATTTATCCTTCATGGCCAGACCCAAGGAGGGGAGGTCATTCCCGTGGAGAGCCATCGGCCTTTCCTCAAAGGGGATCTCACTGAAGTGTCACAATAACCCAGCGAGGTAGGTACATAGTCAAATGGGCTCCGTGCAAAAATTAAAGTGCAGCCTTTGATAAAGAAAAAAAATAAGAATTTCGAGATGGTGAAAGTACATTGTTAAACCAAGCATACAGAGGATTCCCAAGAGCAGGGCTCTGTGACCGCCCAGGTATACACCTATGAAGCCAACCCTGATTATAGAAGAGTAAACTAAAGCTCAGAGAGGTTAAATAACTTGTCTGAGGTCACACCGCTAGTTAGAGGCACAGACAGGTGGAAGGACCCATTGACTAAGCCACCCATGAAGCTCAGGCCCCAGGTCTTGGCTCCCCACTTGCCTCAGGCTGGGGAGAAGGCCATGAGCATCTCTGCAAACCCACTTCCCTCCTAAATGGAGAATGGGTCTTCCAAAGGCCATTCCACCACGGGTATTGCAAGAAAATCCAGAGAACAGGGTCACACTGGTCAAAGACGGAGCTCTCTAAAAAGCAAGTGGGAATTCTATCAACCCTCCATCAGCTCATGAGAAGGGATACCCCCTCCCAAGCCACCCCTTCCTGCATACTCACCCACAGGGAGTCTGGTCACCTCTTTCCCTCCACAAGCCCACTCTTCAGTTGTCCAAGGACATAGCCACTGCCCAGAAGAGATGACCCTGAAGGACATGGTCCCAGGCCAGCCCCTCTGGTTTTCTCTGGGAGTATGAATTGCAGATCTTTCTAAAAGCACATTTCCTGGCTGCTCAACCTATTTTCCTTTTTTCATATCTCTGATCCATCTCCAGCCGCGGCTTTGATTGTTGGAGATTTTCTCTTTGACAGTCTAGGGAACACTTCTCCAACTCAGAGTCATTCATGCAGCAAATATTAACTGGTGCACCTACTATGGCTCAGGCCTGCTGCCTGCACTCCTGAGGTAGTTGGGAAGAGAAAAAAAAAAAGTTGAGAATTTTCTGGGCCTAAAAATGTTGTGAATAGAAACCTGACATGTCCTCTCCAAAAATCTTTAGTTGTCCCAGTTGCAAATGACCCCATTTATATGCAGCAATGTCCTCCCATGATACCCAGGTCAGGAGCCCTCCTTGGCCAATATGTTCACTTCTGATGTCTTATTACTTAGCAACCTACTTTTGCCCCAGATCTATATATATATTTGGCCACTCATGGTCTGTAGGAGCTTTACACACCTTCCAGGGGAAGCTTCTGTGACCTGGAGCTTGCACCCTGTCAACCCGTCCCTATTGGCTGCCCCTTCCCACTGGCAGCAGGAGCAGGAGCTGGTGGTTTGTGTGCAAGCTGCTGGACCAGGAGGCCGGTCAGGCTGCCCTTACAGAGAAAAGAAGATGGGCAAATATTCAAGTCAGGAAAACTGAATCCTTGTGTTGTACCAGCCAATCAGGCTGGACAGGCCACCCTGGCTCCAGCTGTAGCTTTCAAATCAGTTGCTGATTGACAAATATTAATTGAGTACCTATTGCATGTCCAGGGTCCAGAGAACAAAGGAGACAGAGAAGGTGTAGAAAGAAGAAATCTGAGAATGTTAGGTGGCATCATTTATTGTATATGTTTCCATTTAATAGGTTAGAGGGGCGAATGATCTGCGACCCTGGAGCCAGTCAGACCTGAGCAGCAATCAGGCTCTGCCATTTTCCAGGTGTGTGTCCTCGGGCACCTCACTTCAGCTCTCTGTGCCACCTTCTGTCATCTGTAAAGTGGGGGTGTTGTGAGGTTCCATGACTTGAGACACGCAAAGGGCACGACCCGTGCCTAGCACACAGTAAGTGCTCAATAAATATTACCTGGCCACGTCGTCCTGTTATCGCTGCCATCATCCTTATAGCTGTGGTTGTCGTTATGAAAAAGTCCTACAGTCCCCACAGCAGCCGCTGGCACTGAAAGGTAGATCTGATTCAAGGCAGTTCTCAGCCAAACCCTAAGCAGCCTCGAACCCCCGCCCCCAGCCCCAA